CTCTGCCCCGGCGACACGGCACAGCAGCCGTTTCGCCCACCCCTGGACCGGCGTTATGCACGAGGGCTGTGCCCCCAGCGCTCCGGGGGCTGCAGCGAGGACGTGGGAGCAGAGGAGATGCCCCCGGGAGCCCAGCGCGTAGGTGGGACGCGCTTCCAGGGGCGATGGAGGAGAACCGAGAAAGCCTTGACCCCGTAGCGGGACAAACCCGCCGCCGGTGAGAGCCCGCCAGGCTCGCTTGGATGGCTGCAGACTTCTGTAAGTGCCTGAGCCGTAGGGTGTAGAGGTAGAAGGGGGTGACGCAACTCCCTGCAGCAAGGTGGTGGCCGCTGCTCTGCCGGGCTTTGCCATGGAGCTCAGCCCCGAGTGGCGGCGCCGGGGCCGTCCCAGTGCTTACTGGGCTCTTGCTGGAGCCTTCAAAGCCTGTGCTCCGCAGCCCCAGGGATGCCCCGGCATTCACTCGCCGATGGATTTCATCCCGCTGTTGCCAGACTTGCCCCATGCTTCACCCTCAATACTGCCCCTCCGGTCCTTGACATCTCTACCTGTTAACACGGGCAACAGCTTTGTTTCCTCTTTAAATAATAACAATAATAATAATCCCTGATTTTTATGCAGTATTTTAATCAGCACTGCTGTACAAAGGAGGACAAGATTATTACATTTACAATGTTAGTGACAGCGTATCGCTTGGTCCTGTTTAATATTTCCTTACGAAGGCGGCACTTCTAGTGCCCTCTGTAATACAGCCTTGAGTAGCTGTTTGCAACAGCAGAGCAGGCTCAGGTTATTAATACAGATTTCTGCGGTAATGCGGTTTTCCCTGCCCATCCCCACGATCCTGCTCTCAGAGCAAGCTGCTCCATATTATCTGTGCTGAAAATGGACATGAGAAGAGTTCCTTTCATCTCCCTGGCGCCTATAATAGGGTGTTAAGCAATGTTTTCAGTGCTACTGAATTTCGACCAAGGTTTCCTGGGTCTCAAAGGAGAAGAAATGTCTTTTGGTCATTCAGATGAGAGCCCAGCCGCCCCGACAGCGGTGAGGTGGAGGTGTGAAGGGGTGCCTTTGTTGTGCTGGCAGGAGCACGGACCGGAGCGAACTGGGACCCTCTGGGCTGCCCAGGCAGGGGGGGAGCGGCCGCTCAGGGGGGGACGCACCGAGAGCCGGCTTCAGGCTGCTGCTGGGCTCTGTGCCTCTGTGCCTGTGTTTGAGCCTTTTTGATCTGAAGGGCACAAAACTCAAGGTGCGTTCGTGAGGATGTTTTCTTGAGCGATTCTGAGTCCTTGTAGGCTCTGTAAGCTAATTTGCCCAGGTAAAATAGTCTGCGTTTCATTTTTGTAAATGCTTAATGTGTGTTAAGTAGCGCAGGTGGAATAAACACGGGAGTAAAAAGCATCTTCACAGGCAGCTAAGATCAAATGAAGAGAAAATCTACATGCGAATTAATTTAGCAAGTGTCAGCGGACGATGCAGGCACTTACACATCAGCAGCGGCGAAAGGGCATCCACGTGAGCTGCATAGATCAGCCGGTCTGATTTACTCTGGGCAAAGGCGACTTCTGCAGATGTTTAGGGCTGATGTGCCTGATTTCTCCTCGAGCGTCCGTGGAGCTGGTCCTAACCCTTCAAATGAACCACAAACAAGTCCTTTTGAAAATCCTCATCTTTGTATTTCAGGATGCTGCGATCAGGTTAATACTATACACAGGACAGGGAGGGCACAAAGAGATACTCCCGGGAGAGCTGAGAGGATCTGGCAAATTCTAATGAATTTGCAGTAATTTTGCAGTTGTAAACTGCTAAAATATTGAGTATTGAGAAGAGTTAGTTAAAATAAGGCTGTCAAGTCATTGGATGATCCGTTCATTAACGTGACATGCCAGGGAAATGAAGTAATCATTTTGCTAGACAAATAAATACAAGCAGGTGCCTAAACGCACCTCCCTGGGAGGGGGGGTTAGGTAGGGGCCACCGACGGGTGGGACAAGGGCTGTGCAAGGCCACGGTCCGGGTGCCAGGTGTAGCCCCAACCTTTCAGCCAACACAGCTTCCTCACTGCTAATGGCGCCGGCACTGCCAGCAGCCTGACAATAGCAGAATAAAAGCTATTTTTTAGGGAAATATAGAGGAAAAGTGTCCCTCTTGGGGCATTTCTTCCCACGGTGGGGGGGCGCAGCACAGAGAAGAGCCCCCACACCCGCTGGGATCCACGTGGCATCTACAGGAGCTAACGTAAAGGATGGAAAACGTACCACAACTCCTTTTTTTCCCCCCTTCTTTTCCAGTTGCAGCCATGCCAGCAACCAACCAGGGCTGGCCCGAGGCCTTCGGGTTCAAGATAAGCGGGACCGGTCCGTGCTACATCTTCTGGGTGCAGGAGGGCAGCAGCGCGGCGGCGGCGGGGCTGTGGCCAGGCGACGAGGTCCTGGAGATCGAGGGGCAGCCCGTCTCCTCCCTGGGCTGCGAGGCGCTGCTCGGGCTGGCCAGGCGCTGCAGCAATGTGCCCCCCAGCATCGGGGTGGTCTCCCGCCTGCAACATGC